TTTGCGTTTGACCTTGATTGTTAGCGTCCAAGGTTAAAGTTGGTGAAAAAAATGTCAAGAAACCATATCGAGTAACATATCATACGGAAAGGCGTGGCGAGAGCGGAACAACAAACTTTTTTATTTTTTTGTAAAGACACTGATGTCATAATTGGCTGCTGCTCACCACTCTGTGATGCTCTTGTGCGTCCTGATGACAGAGGTCTCGATGTCGATGGGGTGGTAACGCATCCCTCTGAGTTCCATGGCTTCCTCCAAAGCGCCGACCACGTACAGGGCATCGTGGCGCTCTGTGGACACGAACAGATTTCCTTTCAAGCCACCGTGCTGCGCTTTTAGATTAATGTACGAGTTATCAAAGCTTTTAACGTGAACGGTCTTCCTGCACAGATTAAAGTCACAAAGTAAACTCAAAGATGCTCAACATGTCTGAATTTCTGACTGTTACGAGCTGGAAAGAAACATTTGAGTGTTTTAAATATCAGACTTGATCTCAGCAGAGAGAACGAGCCAATCAGGAGGAGCCGGCAGCACTTAAAATCAGCGCTGAAGCCGTTTAATCGTTTCCTCCTCGTTGTTGTGCGAGATCATTAAAGGTCAGCCGCGGCCCCATTAACCACGTCGACCGTGTTCGACGAACGGCCCGCCCTGACCTCCGCTGGCGTCGGTGAGCTCCGTCCTGCGCAGGAAGCCCAGGTATCCGGTCCGAGCCCAGACGGTCTGCGTGTCTCCAAAGCTGAGCCTGGAGTTGAAATGGTCGGACTGCAGCGCCTCGTCCCCGTAGACGGTGAAGTAACCGCTGGCGTTGTGGCCGCTGTGCACCCAGATCTGCAAACACACAAATAATACAGCAGAAAATAACCATCAAGGGATTATTTCCTCTATAACAGGGCTGAATGTCTTCCAGCCCGGCTTAATAGCCCGAGAAAAGTGAAGCGTACACTATATGGCAGAAATCCTGTGATTCAAAATTCAATTAAGGTCTGGAACCAACTATTGGACACAGTAAAGGCTCCTAAAATGTATTTGGATGCTCCAATATGTAACAATCATGGCTTCAGGCCTGGGCTGGAGGGCATCACGTTTGTGACATGGCAGGGAAGAGGGGTTTGTTCTCTCAAAGATATTTACATTGATGGACATTTTCAGCAATTAAGGGTGAAATTTAATCTTCCTAATTCACATTTTTTCAGATTTTTACAGTTAAGACATTTCATCAAAGCATCTATTCCACAATACAATTTGATTCCTCGAAACTCACAGCTTCATGTCAGTTGAGCCCTACACTAGAGGTGCTGTGTCTCACTTTTAGGGAGCAGTGGCAGGAAGAACTGGGGCTGGATGTTACTGATGAACTTTGGCAAGAGTGCATTAAGAATATATATTGTAGTTCTATAAATGCTAGACATAGTCTGATCCTGTATAGGTTGCATTTTTCTCCCACTAAAGTGGAAAAAATATATAAGAACGTTTCAGCCCTCTGTGTTAAGTGTTCAAGTGGTCGAGGAACTTTATCTCACCTTTTCTTTCAATGCCAAAAACTACAGCTTTTTTGGAATCATTTGTTTGATTTTCTGACCAAAGCCATTGGCAGGGAGGTCCCATGTACCCCCTTTGCAGCATCGCTTGGGGTGTCTGAACCGGGATGGGCAAGGGACAAGACAGAGACGCAGGTTGTGTCGATGACTACACTTGTGGCTAGAAAGCTGATACTTCTCTGCTGGAAGTCTGATAAACCTCCTACCTTCGAAATGTGGTTGTCTGGAAATCTGGAGAAAATCAGGTTTACCTTGTCTAACCGAGAGAGTGTGTTTTATAAGATTTGGCAACCAGTCATTAGCCTGATGGATAAACTTAAGTGAAATATACTCTGTCTTAACATTCATGTATGCTGTATTACCACCTTGTTGACTTCTATTGTGTTCTTTTGAAGGTGATTGTTGTACACTGCTCAGTTATAAAATCAATAAAAATAAATTGGAAAAAAAAAAGTCAAACAAATGTGGACAAACATCCATGTTTTCACTTCATGTCCCAGATTCTGGCAATTCCAACTGCAAAACCTCCAAGAAAAAAAAAAAAAAAAGCCCCGGGGCCAAAAACAACCCCGCAAAGAACCCAAACCGGCCCAAAGGAAAAAGCAAAAGAAGAGGGAAAAATTGAACCTTTAAACGGTTGGGGGTTTTTTCACGTTTTACAGCTTTTTACTGATAAAGACCTCCCCCATGGCCATTCATGCTAAACCAAAGAAATGAAATAATAGATAAACTATTAAATGACAGAAATCTACCAAAGGAAACCTTTTAAAAAAAAAATTTAAGGAAATAAAAAAAAAAAAACAAGGCCAACCAAAAAAAATAAGGTTAAATGAACAAAATCAAAGGAAGTTAAAAAAATGTAAATATTTCAGGTTAACAATCACTTTCTCTGCTGACCTCAGTTGTTCAGGGATAAGATATCAGATGGTGCATAAAGGCCATCTGGGTCCTGCTTCATGCACTTATATCTTTTTATGGATGCAGATATGAAAGTTGAGTCTCTTTTGTGTTCATTTAAACAGATAATTCAAAATAACCCCAGATTGGAAAGACTTCGAGGACTTTGATGCTCAAACACGATTGGTCAAAGGAGCTTGGACCAAAGTCCGAAAACCAGAAGCGTTTTTATTTTCAAGTACAAATATCTGTTTATAGAGAAGACCATTAAAGCTCAGACAAACCTCTCCCAGATGCGACTCTCCCATTGGTCCCTTGGTCTCTGGGTTGGCGATGATGATTCTGACCCCCGGCAGGATCTGTTCAAGAGAGACGCAGATCGAGCAAAGACCAAAAACAGCTTATTTGAAAAAGTTAATAAACGTTAAATTTAAATAAACTGACCTTCCCGGACTCCATCAGTGGCAGGCTGTGTGGCGATCCCCGCTCTACGAGTCTGACCCTGCAGAGCAGACAAACGGACGTTTCTGTTAGTCGGCTGCGTATTATCTCTAATCAACATCCCATAATCAGGATTCTGGACAGGATCTTAACTCTGACTGTTGACCGCTAACGGCTAACGGCTAATGGCTAACGGCTAATGGCTAACAGCTAATGGCTAACGGCTAACGGGTAATGTTGATGTGATTTTTATTTATTTTTAATCTGATGAACAATCATTATGTAACAAACATAAAACAAGGTCACATTTAACATGTTGCCCCGCCCCCTGGGAACTTTATTCTGGTAAAATTTTAGATCCGTTTGGAGGCATTTGTGTCTCCTCATAAAAATGAGGCTGTACAGTAAAATCTGCACGTTGTTGATGCTCATTAACTACCACGGACGCTCTTCTTTACTAATGTATTTCTAGTTGCTGCTGTGAGTCGTTTGAACAGGATGAACAAACTTCTCAATTCTAATAAATGTTTGACACAAACAGAAACAGAATTGTGGGAAAAAGCTGAATCAGTAAAACTAAAAATAAACCAGGACGAGCGGTTTGTCAGTCTGCAAACACGGAGCGCCTGTGGTAGACTCGGGCCAGCTTAAATCAGCAGTGATTACATGTAATCATGCACACTGACAGTTATATTTATACACAGCGGGACTGCACGGCCCTGCTGCGACTTTTCTGTGTGCAAATCAGCAGACACAGGCTGAGCAGCGTAATGACGGGCTGCATCGGGGAGCAGGAAACTGCGTCTGGGGAGCTTCAGGGATGAGTAACAAGCTCCTGACGAGTTCAAATTAATGCATTTTTCAGTTTGTGCCGGTTTCTTGCTGGTCGTTTTCGCCGTCGTTGCTTTAATCCCGCAGGCCCTTCTCGTCAGAGATGTTTGAATAAGTCCGAGTCTCGCTTGTTATCTCGGATGTGTTTGTCCATCTTCACCAGCTGGAAAACTGACAGCGTTTCTCCTCTGAAATCTGACACTAATGTTGAGCCCTGGCTGGTTCATTAAGAGTCAGAGCTGTCTCTCTGAAAAGCAGAAGTCTGGCAAAACAAATGGCGATGTTACCCAGCAGGAAATGTGACTCATACTGGGTTTGATGGGTTTTAAAGTTCACCCCTCTCACACTGTGGAGAGGCTGTGAGGGTGACAGTGTGCATGTCAAGCTGACACGCCTGAAAATGTCACATCGTCTCGGAGAAACTTCCAGCTTCTCATTATATTCAGACTTTTTTACCGTCAGCCTGCAGCGATGCTTCAGCTGCAGAGAATAAGCCTCGCATTACAATAACAATCTTTGCTGAGCACTTTATTTATTCTGAGAGCGCTCGCTCATTCACAAACGTCCCGCTGCTTCACATTCACAAACTTCATGAGCGAAGCCGTCCGGCAGAGCGCCGCTGAAATCCCACAGGACGCCGGCTGAAGACTTTACAGCACAGAATAGACTCTGTGTCCGTGTGAGAGTCGACGGAAAACCGATTCAGTGCATGAAAACAACATCTGAAAAATACTCAAGGCTGGTGTTACGACTCCAGCCGAGCACAACAATCCATCAGCCTGAAGAAACGTGAGCCAGAAAATAACTGGAAGAAAATATTTTGTGTTTGTTGAACCATCTGACGATGTATTTTTTTAATTAATCAAATATCAGTCTGGATTTATGAGTTTGAACTTGTATCATATTTTTTTAATTTCCTTTGGTGAAATCAATAAAAATAAATAATCAATAAATGAGAACGTTTACAGTTACTTTAGTTAGACTCTGCCAAAATGTTACAGAAACTGTCACCAATAGTTACAGATGTTCTTTATCTTTTTAGTTTTAGAGTTAAGGCCACTGTAAATACAAACGTGCTCTTAGGCTACGTTCACTCTGCAGGTCTTGATGCTCAATTCCGATTTTTTGATCAAATCCGATTTTTTTGTCTGCTCGTTCACACTACAAATAAAATGCGACAGCAAACGCGCTCTAGTGTGAACGCTCAAAGCCCGCATGCGCAAAAGACGTCACACACAACGCGCTCTGTTTAGACCCAGAGCAACAGTATTGTTTGACTGATGGTCTTAATATAAAGACTTCGGACTT